ACGGGAGGAGGAGTTTATTCTGGACGTCCGCGTTGGAAGTGGATCGTTCCGGTTGTCGTGAATTTTAATTGATAACCATCGATCCCCGTGCTTACGCGTGCAATTATTGAATTGAGTAGATGGAACTTGGTTGATTTCACGCAGCTACGGATGCTGCCCATATACATTTACACCGCTGTAGAATACCTATGCGTATACCAGTGTGTATACCACCATCACCACTACCTACGTGTACACCACTGTGTATACCACCATCACCACTACCTACGTGTACACCACTGTGTATACCACCATCACCGCTACCTACGTGTACACCACTGCGTATACCACCATCACCACTACCTATGGGCATAATTTAGACGAATCCTAATATGTATTGATACTGGAGGAATCCGATGAGCTATGAAGCTCTTTTTTCACAGATTATCCAGTAGTCACTAGCCCGTATTTGCCCATATTAGGCCAATTAATCGTTACCGCCCGAGTTTATCCACCTCAAGATCGTCGTGGTGATGATGATGATGACGATGGCCTGGCTGGCAAATACAATGATCCGTTTCGTTACCTGAGCAGCAGTGGTGATCTGATATTGCTGGCGGGAGTTACGAAAGGTGTTCGAGGACCCAGTGTTGAACCCAACTCCTCCAGGTCCTGTGGTTCCTTTCCACGGCTGCCCCTCTCCGAGTCTACCGCTAATGTCCCCGAGCAAAGGGTGATTGACGCTCACGCTTCACGCGCCTGATGCTGTTAGAGATCAGTCGCCGTGTTCACCGGCGAAGCACACCGAGTGGGGGGATGGTTGGTCAACACCCTGCCCGCGGCTGCCTTTGTATCCCCAGTGTTTCAACAGCCAGGTGCTTGTTAAAGGCTGAGTCGACATAGTGGGGGGGGGGGGGGGGGTGAACACGATCGCTTCAAATATTCGCCACTGTTATCGGTCGTGATCCGGAATCCGAACTCTGGTTCGTATCCACTGCACGACATCTCTCCCCCCCATATAGCCTCAACGGACCTTTTGGGGCAAGTGCTGCTAGGGAGCAGCACCTAATGAATTCTGGAAAGGTTCACGATTGGGGTGGTGTGAGCAGCTCTCAATGCCATGGGGGGGGGGGGGGGCGTTTCCCAATCATCAGGCGCGTGCAGTGTGCTGAGCCCTAACTCGCAATTGAAATCATGAGATTGGTAAACAAGGCAATTGCGTGCGGTGCAATCCCAGTAAACCTGTGAACGTTCCGTCAACGTTGGTCCAACGTTTCGAGCCACACGTCAACGTTCGCCCAACGTTAGCACACGTTTACTGGGGCGGTGTGGGCCGTGAGGACTGGGCTCTTGGGTAAAGCCGTCGTATAAAAGTACAGCACACTCAGTTAGAGCAACGCTCACACACAGACCGCAATACCCACACACAGACCGCAATACCCACACACAGACCGCAATACTCACACACACACAGAGACCGCAATACTCACACAGATCCAATCATCAATACGTAAGGATAGTCCTCGCCTAATGCGCGCCGTTCACGCTGTATTGCGGTTCTCACATTAGCGCACACTGCGCACAACGCGCCCGTTATAACGCGCTTTGTGAGCGCTCGGCGACCAACTACTTTCTCTGCCTGCGCTGATTAGCGGCGCGATGCGGTACGCAGCGCGATAAAGCAAAGCAGCGGTGTACGCTCCGTTATTCGTCCCGCAATCTCGCTGCGTGTGCGTAGTAGTGCATCGTATCTTCATCGTTACGTTATATTATTAATTGGGATTTTTTTTGTTCGTCTCGTCTAACGCGTTTTTTTTTTTGCTCAATGTGGCAATTTTCAGGAACGCATCTACCGCGCTAAATGAGGACTTGCCGTACTTTGACCCCATCGCTACCAGACATACGTACAGTACACAACACGTACCGTATTTCTGCGGATCGTACGGTGCCGCAGTTCACTTTTGGAGCCCTGCATTTTAATTGGGCGTCATGCACGGCATCAAATCGTCGACACAGCTGCCGCTGGGGATGCCCCTTTAAAAAATGAATGCCCAAGAGCCCAATTATTATGACAGAGCACAAGGCTGGGGTGCGTCTTAGAATCCGGGAGACGTGTGTGTGTGTGTCAGTGGGGAACGGTGGCACAGAGGCTCGCGCGCACAGCGCTGCGAACACGGCGACCCCGAGTTCGATTCCCGCTCAGGGCCACCAACACCGGTGACGATTATCTGAACCGTTCCTCCCCTAGGTCGACTCGGCCTCCAATGAGTGCCTGGTGCGGTGTGTAAACATCAACACCAGGGAGACAAAGGCAGTCGAGTGTGGCGTTGGCCACCCACCCCTCGTGTGCCGTGTCGGTCTTCATAGGTGCTCGCTAACAACGCTTGCCCCAACAGTCTATTGAGGCTATACGGGGGATCTTTGTATTTTTGTTTACTGACACCGGGTACACGTTTTAGGTGCGTCTTACTTTCCAAAGCGTATTTTACAATCCAGCGAATACGTCAAAAATAACGATTACAGTCGTAGCAGTAGTTGTATTTTGATCCTGTAATTATACAAACTATCATTACATTTTAAATCGAGACCATCACAAAGAATCGGATCTTCTCTTGTAACTACGGGGCGTGTATCACACAGGTTCTGAAGCATCATTCTCAATCCACTGCTGGTTCAATATTAATCGCTTTTCGCTAAGCATAATCGTGATGAGAATTAAGTGCCGGCGATTGATTGTGTCCGGTGACGTTAGCAGGAATAGTCCGGAATGTCGTTCCGAGTTATTTTAAACTAAAACTGTAAACTGTTTTATTTTTATTTTACATGGTAAGGCCCACGGAGCTATTGAGCTCTTTTTTTCAGAAGCAATCTGGCCACAAATGATAACTCACCAAAGCGGCTTATCATCATCACGTGGAAATTTCAAACAGCCAAATACTCTGAACGCGTGACGTTTTTTTTCTAAATGTGGAGGGGAAAGCCGGAGGAGGACCCAGAGAAAAATCCACGCGACCATGGGGAGAGAGAGACACGCAAACTCCAAATATACAGCAGCAGGCGTCAGGGTCAGGGATCGAACCCAAGGCTACCTGTATACCAGGCGAGGTAGTTAACATCTCACCACCGTGGCGCTCCCACTTACATCCATCTCGACCTATCTTGTGCTCATCGTTTGTATGAACCTGCTCATAGTATTACAGGAACATACGGAATGTAATACGAGAGGATCTGTATGGATAATCGTACCTTGTACTCTAGTAGTAGTGCCTTATGTCGATTAATCATAGCTCCTGGGCCAGGCAGCCGAGCAGCGTTCCAGAAAAAAAGAATGATCGAGATAATTATATCTCTTGATTGTAATCCGAGGATTCACATTGCGTGACCTCTGTGAGAGAGGGGGAGAGAGAGAGGGGGGGAGAGAGAGAGGTCAGAGGAAGAAAGGGGGGAGGGGGCGAGTGAGGGGGCAGGGAGAGAGAGGGAGGGGGCGAGGGGGGAGGGAGAAAGAGCGAACAGAAGGGAAGAGGGAGTGGTGGGAGGAGAGGAGTGGGAGAGCGGGGTAGGGGGACAGAGGGTGGAATAGAAAATTGGTAGAGGGGGGGGGGGGTAGACGGGGGAGCGAGAAGGAATGACGACGAGGGGGTGAAGAGACGAGGGAGCGAGAGGGAGGGAGGAGGAAGGGTGGGAAACGGGGAGGACTAATGAACCGATGTTCAAAAACCAGAACCGACGTTTCGTCTGATCAGCTAAAACGAGAAGAGGGATAACAGAGGGAGAGCCACGGAGAGGGAGGTGACCCTTTGTGTAATTAAATAATTAGACTTATTAATTGACTCTCGCACCCGCACTGCCCCATGGGAGACCTCTGAGTCACGCGGTACTGGGGGGTGGTGTGTGGGGGGGGGGGTTGCCTGTACTCGTTTAATCCGAGACCCACGGGCCGATACAAATCTCATCCTCTCCCTCTTGAGACTTTGCCAATCTCTCACCACCCCCCCGACCCTCCCCCCCCCCCCTCTGCAGCGGAGTCGTCATTGTCCACCAATGAACCGAAACATGAATATTGTATGCTCAAGGACACATCCGGGTGTGTACCAGGTCGTGTCCCTCCACCCTCTGAATCCGGCGGTCGTGGTTTTTTTTCCCCCCCCCCCGAATCCGTTCCTCTTTGTGACCGTCATGTAAACGCACCGATGTCACGTGTTTACGGTGTTCGTGCGTACGTCATTTCGTTCGTTTGACGGAAAGGGTTTGAAATTTGCGCGCGGTTGAAAATTCCTCGACGGCAATCGCGGCTCGTCTCGATCAACTCCAATGCTCCCCCGCTAGCACGCAGTCTGGCCTAAGGGGAACGCCCCCCAGTGGCAGCTGTCCCTACGCGGCACAAGATGTAAACTAGCATCGATATGGGTGAATCTCTAGATTAAAAAAAACTAATTTCTTTACAGTTTATCATCCCCCCCCCCACCCCCGCGCAACTCCGATATAGCACGGTTGGCTATGTATGGTAGGCAAAATAATCTCAACATATACATACATTCGACATACATACAATTGCGAGTAATTAATCATGTTCGGCACTTTTTGGTTTTATTTTTTTCCCCAGAAATGCCTCGCTGAGGATCAAGACTCGTTTGGCAAGAGGCTCCTGTTCTCGCGGAATGTTTGGACAATTACCATCAATTCCATTAAATAATTCCTATTTGGCGTCGTGCCGTAAGAAACGGGAGAGACCCGGGAGATAACCCACCACGCGTACACACACATACACACACACATACACACAAAATACAAAGTTTCCCCGTGTAGCCTTAACAGACTGTAGGGGCAAGTGCTGTTAGCGAGCACCTATGAAGGCCGGAACGGTACACGAGGGGGTGGGTGGCCAGCACCACGCTCGACCGCCTTTGTCTCCCCAGTGGCGATGTTTACACTCCGCACCAGGTACTCATTTGAGGCTGAGTCGACCTAGGGGAGGCCCCGGACCGGTTCAGATAATTATCGTCACCAGTGTTGGCCGTGAGCGGGAATCGAACCCGGGGGTCTCCGGATTCATAGCGCAGCGCACTAACCACTATAGTACCGCTCCCCACATACGCACAGACATACACACACACACGTACGCACACACGTCGACATACACTCGGGGAGACAACCCACTTGCTCTACTGCCATCTCATGGCCACCTCGCAGCCATAGCCCAGTGGGTTTAGCTATTTTCTTTTTTAAACACAGATCCCTGCGTGATCAGCCAACCCCTTGCTTCTACAGGTGCACACGCCCCACCTAAGGTCATCCACACCGAGACTCCAAGGCTAGGGGTTTGCGACCTGAGAGGTGGGAGAACTTGGGTATCCATTCCAACCCGGGTCTCCTCCCTTGATGTTCCCACACCACGTCGCCTTCTGTATACAGCGGCGGACCCAGTTACTACAAAGTCGCTCGTAAGTTACGATCGGATCACGATCGAGTCACGACTGCTTGCACCCTGAGCTTAATTTCCACGCCTTGCTCGCCACATCAAGTATACCTCTCGCGATGGGTTGTGGCTACTGGTCACGTGAGTCACCCACCGTAGCCCACATAGCGAAGGATACTCGGTGAGCAATTAAGCCCTGCTCCTGAATTTAGCTCCTGCCCGAGGGTACCAGCGTGCGGAGCAAAACGTCGGACGCCGTGCCGAACGATGCGAGCAGCACAAATTCGGCGCGCTCATTGGAGAGCGCTGTACTCTCACTCCCTTCCGAGAGGTGCTGGCCGGAATGGAAGAGTAGGCCAAAACACCCTTTGTCGAGTGGCTCTCCGAAGCTCCGTCCAAGTTGGGCTCCTTCCATTCTGCCAGGTATCGGCACTAGCGAGCAAATTTCAGGGCCTGCACCTTTTACTTTTGCCTTTGCCCGGCGCCGTAGCGAGGCTATTTGGAAGCCAGGGGGCCCAAAGCGCCGGCCTGGCCCTCCGCGCTCGGTGCGGCGACCCGCGCCTGGAGGGGCACCCCTGAGGGGCTGCCGCCTCTCCCCCGGCCCTCCTCCGGCCCACCACCTGTACGGCGCCAGCTCCCTGGCGCGGTCACCTACACGGACGTCGCTTGGTCCACCGCGCCGTCGGTGGCGCCGGCGGCAGCCCCTGCGGCGTCGCCCTCTTCCGCCTCCCCGTCGCCCGCCTGCCGCCGCCGCTTCACCGCCTTGGAGGGCGGGCAGATGGTGAGGAACACGGGCAGGAAGACGAGGCAGTGGACCGCGGAGAGCGCGGACGCGAGGCCCAGGCACCGGGCCACGGTCCGGGCCAGGTTGGAAGGCGCGGCCGCCAGCGCGACGACGGCGGCGCAGAACCAGAGGCACGCGTGGAGCAGCGGCGCCGCGTGGGCGTCGAGGGCCGCCGCGGTCCAGTGGGCCCGGCTCTTGCCGCGGCCCATGGCGAAGGTGGCCACGAGGGGCGCGCAGGCGTGGGCGCTGTAGCACAGCGAGTAGACGAGGCACAGCACGGCGGCGCAGTCGAGCTGCGCGCCCATCAAGCCCAGCGAGCCCAGCACGCCGAACTGGACGGAGGCGGCGCAGAGGGCCACCCAGGCGTGGGCCGGCGCGGCCCCCGGCGGCGCCAGCCCCGCCGACAGGAGGAGGGCGAGGGCGGCGGCGAGGGCGGCGGCGTGCGCGGGGGCGCCCACCCAGAGGGCGTAGCGCTCGAGGAAGGCGAAGGCCGGGTTGTGGATGGTGAACTTGACGCGCGAGGTGAGCGACAGCTTGCGCAGGGCCTCGAGGAGGCCGTCGATCTCCTCGCGCGTGTTCTCGTTCGTCTTGGCCACCATGAAGACGCGCGAGGCGGCGATGCGCCGCTCGCCCGGCGGGCCCGCGAGCACCACGTCGTCGGCGAAGTGCGCGAACTCGCGGCGGCGCAGGAACGAGGCGCACAGCGTCGACACGAAGAGGTCGCGGGGCAGCGCGCTCGTGCCGTTGGCGGCGCGCAGGTAGCGCGTGTACTGCTCGAGCCACGAGACGGTGACGAAGCGCCGGGTGATGTCCAGCAGGTCCTCCTGCACGCTCGCGTTCCAGTAGGCAACCGGCTCGTAGATGTAGAATCCGATGACGGGGCTGTAGTCGCTGAAGAAGCGGTCCTGCACCGCCCGGTAGCGCGCCGTGGCGGAGCGCGAGGCCACCAGGTGCGTTAGGTCGGACGCCTCCCTCAGCTGGAGGCAGCCCATGAAGGAGAAGGAGGCGTAGACGAGGTAGAGCAGCACCACGAAGGGCTTCACGTACGTGCCGCTGATCCAAGGGCCGTAGCGGTCGCGCATGAAGCGGCGGGGGGGCGCGTCCGGCGGGTGCGGGCCGGACGTTGCGGCGGCGGCGGTGGTGGTGGTGGTGACGGCGGCCGTGGAGGCGGTGTTGGTGGTGTTGGTGGTCGCGGTGGAGCAGGGCGGCTCCTTGGAGCTGATGAGATCCGGTTGCTCACAGATGCAGCGTGGCGTCTTGAGGTCCTGCAAGCCCCGCGGTGTCACGTCGGACGCTCGCCCGTTCACTCCGCTCGCCCACCCAACCACTCGCACATCCATTCACTACCGCACAACCATTCACTCACTCACCCATTTACTCACTCATATACTCACCCACTAGTCCATTCACCCCACTCACCCATCGACTCAATCATCCACCTACCCACTCACTCATTCACCGTGATCACTCACCCTGCCCTTTCATCCACTCAGTCACCCACTCATATACAGTACTCACGCACTTCACCACTCACTTACCAAGGCGAAATATCTTCTCTCGAGCTCCATCCATCTCACCTGCATCCATCCATGTCACCTCCATCTCACCTGCATCTATCCATGTCACCTCCATCTCACCTGCATCTATCCATGTCACCTACACCTCACCTGCATCTATTCATGTCACCTCCATCTCACCTGCATCTATCCATGTCACCTACACCTCACCTGCATCTATTCATGTCACCTCCATCTCACCTGCATCTATCCATGTCACCTACACCTCACCTGCATCTATCCATGTCACCTCCATCTCACCTGCATCTATCCATGTCACCTCCATCTCACCTGCATCCACCCTTCTCACCTTCTACGTTTCACCTGCATCCACCATCTCACCTTCTACACCTCACCTGCATCTATCCATGTCACCTCCATCTCACCTGCATCCACCATCTCACCTCCATCTCACCTATATCTATCCATGTCACCTCCATCTCACCTGCATCCACCCATCTCACCTTCTACACCTAACCTGCATCCACCATCTCACCTTCTACATCTCACCTGCATCTATCCATGTCACCTCCATCTCACCTGCATCCACCATCTCACCTTCTACACCTCACCTGCATCCACCATCTCACCTTCTACACCTCACCTGCATCTATCCATGTCACCTTCATCTCACCTGCATCCACCCTTCTCACCTTCTACGTTTCACCTGCATCCACCATCTCACCTTCTACACCTCACCTGCATCTATCCATGTCACCTCCATCTCACCTGCATCCACCATCTCACCTCCATCTCACCTATATCTATCCATGTCACCTCCATCTCACCTGCATCCACCCATCTCACCTTCTACACCTAACCTGCATCCACCATCTCACCTTCTACATCTCACCTGCATCTATCCATGTCACCTCCATCTCACCTGCATCTATCCATGTCACCTCCATCTCACCTGCATCCACCATCTCACCTTCTACACCTCACCTGCATCCACCATCTCACCTTCTACACCTCACCTGCATCTATCCATGTCACCTCCATCTCACCTGCATCCACCATCTCACCTTCTACATCTCACCTGCATCCACCATCTCACCTTCTAAATCTCACCTGCATCTATCCATGTCACCTCCATCTCACCTGCATCCACCATCTCACCTGTGCCGTGCTCTCCACGCCACCGCAAGCGGCAGCGGCAACTACCGCCGCGGTCGCCACCCTCTCTCCTCCGGCCACAACCACGGCGGTGGCCGCCGCTGTTGCCGCCACAGTGGCCATGGTGGTGGTGGTGGTGGCCGACGGCACGGGCCAGCACCTCGGGGGCAGGGCGCGCACCTTGCCGGCCAGAGCGACGCAGGCGCCCAGGAAGGTGACGCAGGCGCAGTAGCCGAGTGCAGTGGCCGTGCAGGCGCATCGACAGAACACCTGCAGTGACATCAACATTACCAACATCAACAACACCTACATCGACACCTTCAACATCAACACCAACAGCATCAACACCTTCACATATATCAACACCTACAAAAACACCAACACCTGCAACAACTACACCAACACCTACACCATCAACAACTACAACAACACCAACGCCTACATCAACAATAACTGCAACGACAGCATCTACTACAACTACAACAACAAAGGGGTCGTTTTTAAATATTTGAGTCGTCGTCCGTCCGTCCGTTCACGCGAATTGGAGCTCTCGCAACCGCTGCTCAGGAACCACGGACCGAGCCGGGAGGCTGTGGCCAGCCTGTGGGCGTCCGGAGCTCCCATCGGTTGCTCTGCGGCCCCTCTAGTTTATTCAGATGCTTTCCGCCGATTAGCGGCGAATGTTTGATGCTACATGTGGGGGGAGACCGGAGGCGCCCGACGAAAACCCGCGCGCATGCGAGGGGGCAACGCTCTATCCCATCAGACGGAAGGGTTCTGATGATATCGGGTCCACACTTTGCTGTACTGCATACTGAGGGCGAGCCCAGGGTTACTGCTCCTCCACGACGCCCATGGAAAGGAAGTTTCACACCATCTCGGAATCCGAATATTTATTCATACTGGAGGAATCCGATGAGCTATAAACCTCTTTTTCACATCTGTGCGGCGATTCACAAAGCCTCGCTGCTGCTGCCTGCTGGATTGCAGGTCACGTGCCGAGCCACCAACAACAAAAACAGAAGCCACCAATCGCCACTTCAGTGCCGGTGAGGTCCACCAACAACGCTTGTGCCAGGCTAGGTGCACTTTGAGGTGACAAGACAGACCCAGGTGCCATGGGTTGACTGCAGTGCCAGGCTCGGTGCAGGAAGTCACGGGACAGACCCAGGTGCCATGGGTTGACTGCTGTGCCAGGCTAGGTGCAGGAGGTCAGGGGACAAACACAGGTGTCACATGGGTTTGACTGCCTGGGAAGACTTGGCATGGCCACCGCCGCCGCCGTCGCAGGCGCTGCGCTCACCTGCACGGCGCGCGTGTTGGTGAGCGGCGAGGCGCCCAGCGCCAGGGTGATGACCTGCAGCGCGGTGAGCATCGTGTGCGGCAGGAGCGAGCGCGCGAACGTCGCCGCCAGACGTTCCTCCTCTCGCGCTGGGGGGCCGCGCGCCCCCCAGCCCAGTCGCCGCCAAGTCCACAGCAGTTCCGTGGCGCCGTGCGAGCCGTGGCCTGAGATTGAGGTGGAGGGGGGGGAGGTTGGTGGGGGGGGGGGGGGCACGGAGTGGGGAGGGGCGGGGGGAGGATACCGCGGAAGATTTCGAGGGGGTTGGAGAGATGAGGCGGGGAGGAAGGGGTTGTGGTGAGGATTGGGAGGTGAGGAAGGGCCGTGGTGAGGATTGGGAGGTGGGAAAGGGCCGTGGTGAGGATTTTTTTTTTAATTGGGGGGGAGGGGGTGGTCAAGAGGAGACTTGCGATTTGTGGGGGGCGGTTGGTGAAGGGGGGCGGGGCAAGGTTGGTGAGGGGTGGGAGCGTTCTATGATTTTGAGGGGTAGATGGAGGGTTTCTTGGGAGTTGGGGATTGGTGGATGTATGGGGTGGGGGAGCGGTTGTGTTGGTGAGAGGTGAGGAGGGCGAGTGGATGGGGTGGAGGTGGTGAGGGGAGGAGGAAGAGGCGAGACAGAGAGAGAGAGACAGTGTGAGAAGCAGCTGGAAAGTAGAAGACTTCTGGCAGTCCAGCAAGTGGCATCGTGTGCCCATCTGTGCAGCGTGATGGGTTTTCTCCGGAGTCTCCAGTTGTCCTGCCACTGGAAGCCATCAACACGTTATTTAACGTGGAATTGGCCAAACATCGCAATGCAACACCCTCCTGTGAGAGAATCTTGAGACTTGAGGTGTGTGTGGGTGTGAACCCGGCGACCCGAGTTCGATTCCCGCTCACGGCCAACACCAGTGACGATTATCTGAACTGGTCCCGGGCCTCCCCTTGGTCGACTCAGCCTCAAATGAGTACCTGGTGCGGTGTGTAAACATTGCCACTAGGGAGACAAAGGCAGTCGGGCGTGGTGCTGGCCACCCACCCCCTCGTGTACCGTACCGGCCTTCATAGGTGCTCGCTAACAGCACTTGCCCCGACAGTCTGTTAAGGCTATATGGGGGATTTTATCTTTGTCTTTGTTGTACCAGTACATGTATCCGTCTGTGTGTCTTTTGGAGGTGCTCGCTAACAACACGTGCCCTAAAAGTATGTTAAGGCTATACTGGAGATATTTGTATGTATCTGTGCGTGTGTGTGTGTATCTGCGTGTGTATGTCTGTGTGTATCTGTGTGTATGTTTAGGGGGGCGGTAGGTGTAGCGGTTAGCGCGCTGCGCTACGAACCAAGCGACCAGAGTTCAACTCCAGCTCACAGCCACGACCAGTGACGATTATCTGAACCGGTCCTGGGCCTCCCCTAGGTTGACTCAGCCTCAAATGAGTACATGGTGTGATGTGTAAACATAGCCACTGGGGAGACAAAGGCGGCCGGGCGTGGTGCTGGCATCCAACCCCCTCGTGTGCCGTGCCGGCCTTCATAGGTGCTCGCAAACAGCACTTGCCTCAACAGTCTGTTAAGGCTATACGGGGAATATTTGTCTTTTGTGTATCTGTGGGTGTGTATCTATCTATATTTGTATCGTTTCACCGGCTATCCGTTCATTGAACCCGATAGGCGAGTAAATTGAACATTCGCGTTTCTAAATATCACGCCTGCTTCATTTATAAAATGTCATCACAGCCAGAGTGGGGGTGGAGGGGGTGACTCGTGGGTGGTGGGGGGCGGGGCTGATTCGTGGGTGGGGGGTGCATCTGAGACGATGCACTTATTCACGGTTACAGCTCTGGGGCTCCAGAATATATTGGGGTGCCGAGGTGGCGAGATGTTAACTCCCTCCCCTTGAGTATGCAGGAGGTCGTGGGTTCGATCCCGACCCTGACTGCCTGCTGTATATTTGAGGTCTGCGTGTCTCTCTCTCTCTCTCTCCTCGTGGTCGCGTGGATTATTCTCCATGCCCTGCGCTTCCTCCCCCGGAGCCCTCTGCACATTTAGAATCCACGTGCGTATTTGGCCACTGCTATAAATGTCCACGTGATACGCCACTTGGTTGAGCTATGATTTGTGACAGTCCGGTCGCTTCTGAACAAATAGCTGCATAGCTCAGTTGGGCCTTACCTGGTAAAATAAAAAATATATAGTTTAGTTTATAGTTTTATATATGTTTCATATTTCCGTCTCCCCCCCTCCACCCCCACTTTTATCCTCCTTCCCAGGGAGTGGTGCCGAGGGGAGGCGTTCACGCGGTTGTGGGTCGCTATCAAGTTGTCCACCTGAGTTCGATTCCATTCCCAGTCACGGCGAACATCAGTGGCGAGTGATATCTGAGCGTATCATTGCCCCCATTGGTGAGGTATGGTCAAGAAACTCCTTCAACCCCTCCATGACCGACGTTGCGCAGAGGCATTCATCCAGCAGTGGATTGACAAGTCCGTAATACATATTCTTAGCTCTTTCGGTAAAGTAACGTTGAAGGAAAACAATACAATAATAAAATATATATTGGCGTATCACGTGGACAAAGTCACGTTGAAGGGAAACAATAAAATATATATTTTATTATTTTATTGTTTCCCTTCAACGCGACTTTACCGAAAGAGCTAAGAATATAAATTACTGCAGTCACGAAAGCTTTAAATCAAAATTTAAATCCGTAATATATATATAAAAAAAACGATAAACCAACCTTTTTTCAAAAGATGGCTTAAGGCTCACGGACGCTTCCACCGGGTAAGTAAATGTTGTTGCTGCTGTTATCAAATGCAGTGTTTGTGTGTCTGTGCGTCTCCATGTGTGTACAGCTTAGTTCGCACGGGTTTGTGAAGGGTTGCACGAGGAATGTTTATATTTGGTAGCTGGGGATTTTCCAAAGTCAATTAATTAACTGTAACGTTCTTCCCTGTAATTATTTTGTTCTAATTTTATTTCATTTTTACCTAAGTCCCCAGGGTGGAAATTACGCGATTCCGTGTTTAATATTCATGAGATTTTACGCAAATTAATGCGAACACACAACCCCATTCGCCTACTCAATCACCCACACGCACATCCATCCTCTTTACCCATTCATCCACCCTCACGCAAACACTCACCCATCCACTCACTCACACATCCATCCCACTTGCTCACCCACTCATTTACTAACCAACTCACTCAATGATCCACTCACTCGCCTACTCACCCACCAACTCACCTTTCCACCCACTCGCCCATCCACACAATCTCCCATTCATACACACATCCACTCACTCATCCATCCACTCACTCACTCACCTCACCCATCCACTCACTCACTCACCCACTCACCCATCCACTTACTCACCCATCCACTCACCCACCCACCCAGCCACACGCCCACCCACCCAGCCACACGCCCACCCCCCCAGCCACACGCCCACCCCAGTCTCCGTGAGCCACGACTCGCGTCTGAATGTTTCATGGTCTAATTACGCGATGTGAGAGCGAGGGTTTTGTGTTATTCCGCTCACATCTCTGCGCTATTAATGTCCCCTGTGAGTAATGAACCACCGCGGTGCTGGGTGGATCTCTGCGTGCACACAGCGCGTGTGTGAGCAGATTCTAAACTCAATTCATTGGCAGTGCGTAGTGCCATTCGCGAGATCGGTATCTATGTCCGTGTTGGAATATAACAATAATAGTAATAATGCCAATTATCCACAAAAGCATCTGTGAGTTTCAATACGAAGTTTCAGGAGAGTCCTGCTCCATTGGAAATGTCTGGCCAATTTTTTTTTCACTTTTCCCATAGGGCCCAGGGTGGAAATAATACGATTCCGTGTTTTAATATTCAAGCGATTTTACCCAAGTGAATGCGAACAACCCCACTCTGCCTACTAACTCACCCACCCACACATCAACCCTCTCACCCACACACCACTCCCATCACCCACTCAAACGCTCACCCATCTGCTCACTCACACATCCACCCGCTTTACCCCGTCACTCGTTCACACCGCTTGCGTCCTCCCTATCGGTGGCGAGTGATGTCTGAACCAAACCTGCTCCCCGCCTCTTCACCGACCAGAGTGGTGAAGCATGGTCAAACAATCTCCACGACCGATACATCATCCATTCAGCAGTGGATTGGCAAGGGGCTAACTTGTCCTTGCTAGGAAATCACCGGAGCATGTCCGCATCGCTTATAGCGTGCGTATGTACGTTGAACTTCTTTCGCAACGTACGTAGCCAACCGTGATAATCATCTGGGGATGCTGCGTTGGCAGCCATGCACAATGAGCAACAAACGATCTCAACGCGTGCGTCAACAACACTGTGATCGGGGGCTTTAAAAGAACAAAATACGTTTTAAGCGACGTTTCGGGCAATGGCCCTTCGACGTCATAGCACGCACATTGTAGCGTTCGGTTCGCAGAGAGAGCGAGAGATTTGTTCTACTCGCTTCTGGACGGAACGTCGCCTCCAGTGACGTTGCCAGAGTGCTGCGGAGTGTCAATTAAAAGTTAGTTTCGTCACGACGGAGGCTTCTCGAAACGAGAAGCCTCCGTAATGGGGGGGGGGGGGAATAATGGGGGAGGGGTCGAGATGACACAAATCTGGCCAGATCATTACGGGGTGGCCCTACCAGAACAAAATAATAATGATGAATCCTCATAATCATCATAGCGTTTAGGTGTTCATATAGCAGCGGTAATTTACTCAAACCGCGTCGCACGAGGTGGCATCGACTGCGATGCCATCAGTCAAATTAATCACGGACCGTGAATTCGTCGCCGGCGTTTCTACTTTACCCAGCGCCACGAGGGGGATGATGATGAGCGTGGAGTTATAGGGAGTCCCGGTGAGGATCATGACTCCAGCCGTTGCCAGCGTGGTCAGAGCGATGCCCACGAACCCAGCCAGCACCAGCAGCCCGAAGCACAGATCTTCCGAGCGTGTCCTGCCTCTGCTATTCTTCAATGCCGTCCACCACCCTCCACATCCTCCTCCACCACCACCACCACCACCTCCTATACCTCCTCCACCTCTTCCCACCATCGTCGCCGTCGCCACCACCAGCAGCGGGCCGACCACCATGGCCAGAGCGAATCCGCCGGCGAGATTCGGTGCGGCCACGACGCCGCTCTGGTAGAAGTCGGTCTGGAGGGACGACGAGGTGAAGGGGAAGAGCGCCAGGTCGTGCGCGTGCCTGTGTCGAGCCCTCTCCACGGCCGTCACGAATTCCCTCTCCCAGAGCTCGGAGGCCGCGTGAGCCGAGTCGAGGTAGTAAGTGATCTGCAGGGCCCGCGCGGAGAGCACGCGGTCGGTCTGGAAGAGAGTCACTCCGCCCAGCTGATGTCCGATGTAGACCTCCTGATTGTCACGCAGTCGCGCTTTGGGGTAGCGGATGATGATGGAGGAGCGGCGGCGTGACGCGTCGCTAGCGCTGCTACTGCCATTGCCTCCTCCACCTATTCCTCCTCGTCTTCTCCCAAGTTCGCCTGCACCGCCGCCCATGAGTTCCACGATGGCATCCTGGACACATTCGCGGTCCCAGTCGATGGAGCAGACGTCCCAGAACGTGCAGTTGCGTCCCACGGGCATGGCGACCAGAGCCGAGTGCAGGGAGATGAGGGCGAGGCGGCGACCCTCGTCCAGCACGTTACCTCCTCCGCGCGCGACCGCGATGAGCCGCGTGTAGCGACCCGGCGTGTGCAGCTCCGAGTAGAGCCGCTGGCGAGATCGCTCCAGCGGGAACAACTCGTCCGCCAGGGCCCCCTCCAGCTTGGCGAGGCTGTGAGCGGGCGCGAACAGATCCTCAGCCTTGCTCTCGACAGAGACGCGGCTCAGGGCGGCGCCGAGCAGAGCGGCTAGGAGAGCGGGCGCCACAAGGAACGGCGCCGGGTGGCCCGCCACGAGGAGCCCCAGGCGGTAGAGGCACCGCTGGAGCGCCGCGTGCAGCAGCGCGCCCAGCATCGTGCGCGAAGGACGAGGTGGTCGAGGTTGGTCGAGGGTTGGGTGACGGTGCTCGCTGTACACGGCACGTGCACCCCAACAGTCTGTTGAGGCTATTTTTATACGGGGGCGGAGGGTGGATCTTTGTCTTTGGTGGTGACGGTGGCGAGGGTCGTGATGGTGGTATTGGAGGTGAGGATGGTGTTTTTGGTGGTGGAGAAGATAGTGGTGGTTGAGAGTGGTGGTGAAGGCAGAAGTGGTGGTGAAGGTGGAGGTAAGGGTAGTAGAAGGTGAAGGAGGAGGGTGAGGCTGCAGATAACGATGGTGGAAGAGGAGATGGATGGTGATGATGTTAATGGTGCTGATGACGGTGGTGCGGGAGGGATGGTGATGATGAATAGGCGAAGACTAATTGGATTCTGCTGATGACGATGGTGAAGTATGCTGCTGCTGATAATTATTGTAGAATAAAACAATTCCTAAGATCATGGGCAATATGATATTGGGACTTCAGCGCTGAACCGACGACTGCCACTGCTGCTAATGATGATGAGGAAGTGTGCTGATGACGCTGCTGCTTCTGCTAAAGATAGTCGTAAAAATCACGAAGATATTGCGAACGATACTACAGCGCTCCGTCCCAATACTGCAGCTGCTACTGCTGACTCTGCTTACTCTGCCGCTTTTCTCACTTGTGATGTGAGTGATGACGATAATACAATGCTGCTGCTGATGGTGGTGATGATGATTATTCTGTTGCTGATGATGCTGCTGCTGCTGCTGCTAAGGATGCCGCTGCTGCTGCTGATGCGAGCGCCCAGCCCTTACCTCCCCATTGCCCACCGGCTCTGCCAGCTAAGGCTGTCCGCTCCATGCGGCAGCCTCGAAGCGAGCGGAAAAGCGAGCAGCAGGGATGGGCGGGAGGGGGAGGCGGTGTGTGAGACGGGGAAGTCGGTGGGAGGTCGGTGGGGGAGAGGGGTTGAGTAAGGTGGAGGGAGGGAGGTAGGGAGGGAGGACGATGAGGGAGGGAGGTAGGGAGGGAGGAGGATGAGGGAGGTAGGGAGGGAGGAGGATGAGGGAGGGAGGGAGGAGGATGAGGGAGGGAGGTGGTGAGTATGGGAGAGAGGCGGCGATATTGCTCATGCTGATGCTGCTGATGGTAATGCTTCTGGTTATGCTGCGACTGCTGCTGCTGCTGATGATGGCGCACTCCGATATGACTCACCTTACGCGCGTGACCTCTATAACGACATTTGTTTAACCGGCTGTACGACCTGCTGATGAGACGTGGAGGAGACGAACCCGATGAGGAGCGGTCCTATATAATCCATAATAAATCAACCAAGGACATCCTTGCTGATTCTAAATACCCGTTGTCAGAAGGGTCGTGCTGCTGCTGCCACTCCGCTGGGATGTTTGCGCCGTGAATTCCGTGGTTTGGCGATGAGAGTTTTGGCTTCGTGTGTGGAGGAGGAGGAGGAGGCAACGGGAGAATCCCGGAGACAGCCCAGCAGCCACTGCGCCGGGGTCCACGTGGGGGAGACGCGCGGCACCGCCACCTGCTGACCTCACCGCATCTACGCCTCCATTCAAGGAACGAGACAGGTGGACTCCTCCACAAATCTGGCTGTCGCCTGATGAAGCTCGTTGTAATTACTGGCCAAACGTCGTACTCGGATTGTGAATGTCGTGGCTTGGCTCTCCAACACACCGGTGTGCTGTACTAATAACGAATTGGCACGTTCTGTTTACGTGACGACCCTTACTAGTTGGCTGTGTCGGGTGGTGGCGGGTTTTAACGACACATTTATATATTTACAGAATCTAACCGAAACAAAAAACCTGTATTATGGAAGCTATTTGCCCCGAAAGCCTCCAACGTGTTAAACTCACCGCACTGCCTGCCCCCACGCCAACAACACCTGGCAAGCCCTGCTGCTGTTGTTGGTGGTCGTGGTGGTGGTCGCCCCATGCAAACCGAAGCACACGGAGAACACCCACCGCGCATAGCAGGGAGACAACACTCGCACCTCCGCACAGATGGATTCATTCCACGGACTCAATCCATCCAGTGGGCAGGACCACATCTCTCCCGGGATCGCACCCCATCACGGCGCTGCGATCTACAGCCGCCCAAGTGCTACAACACCTGGCAAGCACTTCTGGTGGTCGTGGTGGTCGCCCATCCTATTACTAACCTGCTTAGCTTAGGAGATTCTGGGCCATTTGGGGCATGTCTCAGTCTCATTGAACAGCGGAGCTGTAGGACGACCGAGTCCCCATACTCACTGTCTCGCTCCCTCTATCCCCTCCCCTCCTCCCTCCCTCCCCTCTCTACTCCAATACCTCCCCTCCCTCCATCACATCTCTCGTTCCATCCCCATCCTCGATCATCTTCCTCCCCACTGATATCCCTCCCTCCCTCATTTCTTCCTCCGTCACCTCTCTCCCTTCATCACCTATTTCCCCCTCCCTTCCATTACCTCCCACCGTCACCTCTATCATCACCTCTGTCACCTCCCTCCATTTGCCTCCCACCCTTCCCCACAACCCCACTCCCTACCCTCCTCCCTCATCTCCCTAAATGACCTCCACTCTTCCTCCCACTCTCCCTCTCATCCGTTGTCTTTTCTGTGACCCTATAGCAAGGTCACGCGCCCCTTGTCCCGCCCAGCCCCCACTCCTCAACTCCTCCCCCGACCCTCCCCTGCATCCCCCCCCCCATGCGTGGACCTCACATCTCCACATCACCACGCCGTGACATGGACACCGCTGCCACATCGATTGTCGTTGCCAGAAGGCAATGGCAATGCTCTGCCTCAAGGCTCCTCGTGTTCAGGAGGTTGCTGCTACACGCAGTTGTTTGACCAATTCCATCAGTGATGATGATGCTGCTGCGGCTGCTGATGATTATTATTTTTACTCATTCAAGAACGTATCGGTGAGTCTCAAAGTCTCCATTTTAGGAGGGCCCTGCGGTATTGGGGTGTTGGGCCAAATCTATGTTCAAATAATCGACACATTTGTCAAGAACACGACGTGGCTTTAAAATACGCGACGTTTCGAGCAATGACATTTCTTCATCGCACGTACATCAATGTCCACTACTACCAACGCAGCAGTACCAACCATCTCATTTTTAAATTAAAGCGTGGAAGATTAGGCCGAATACCGAATATTGTAAAGGCGTTCTTTAGAACTCCCTCTAGCGGAGGCTCTTCCGCAAACAGTGGCATGAGCAAAGCAATTGCAGGGCTGTGCCTTTATCCGTGCTTCCCGTGGGGGGGGGGGGGGGGATCGGAGAAATCCCACCACGCATGCGATACATTACGCGGGGATACCACTCGCGACTAATTAACACGAGCCCGCTTGCCGCACTGTCGCAGCAAAGGTGTTGGGGAGTAAATGCAAAATCTCTCGACGTGATCCACGCCACCCCCCACCCGCCCTTGTCTCCGAAGCGCTGAATCAAAGGCACTCACCGCTTCGCCACGCCCGGCTAAATATAAACACACACACACGCGCGTCCAGCGGCGCCTGGGCCACATTCAACCCTAATGGCATCATCTTCACTATCCATGGCAGAGCTGGGTAAAATTAACCGGCTTTGTGCCGCAAGGCACGTACGCTACCCACTGTGGTGGAATGTAACGTTGAGCAAGCAGCACACGGGACTTGCACTCCGAAGTGCGCCGGTTCGAATCGATTTCCCGGCGCGGCAGTTGAAATTATTATAATGAGAGAAAATAATTATTGATTCAGCCAGCCAGCCCGCTTTCCGAAGCATTCGGGCGTATACAGGAGGTCGTGGGTTTGATCCCGACCCTGACGTCTGCTGCTGTATATTTGGAGTTTGCGGTGTGTCTCTCCCCGTGGTTGCGTGGATTTTTTTTGTCGGGTCCTCCAGTTTTTCCCTCCATATTTAGAATCAACGCGGGTTTCAAGTATGTGGCGGCTGCTATAAATGTCCCAGTAATGATAAGCCATTTCGTTGAGCTATCATTTGTGATAGGCAGGTCGCTTCTGAAAAAGAGCTATATAGCTCAGTGGTGGCGTACCTGTGTAAGTTAAAACAAAAATGGCTTTATTTACGTGTAGGTACACCACTGTTAGTCTGTGATCTGGCAGATCGCGTATGGTGGGGTAAAGTGTGGGTACTCCCACCCCTTCGAAGACGCAATTTGTCCAGCGCTGGGAGTGTCGACTACATAGTCCATATTCTTTGGTTCTTTCGGTAAGGTCACGTAGATATAAAAATAATACAAATAATAAAGCGAATTTAAAAACCCTAATGCATACTGTAGTATTATTTTGATTTAATGCTTTCGTGACTGCAGGGATTCATATTATTGGTTCTTTCGGTAAAGTCACGTAGAAGGGAAACAATAAAATATTAAAAATATAAAACAATAAAATTCTCACGACGTTTCGACTGCAACACAAGCAATCATCATCAGCTGTGGTTTTCACACAGTTCTGGTTTTCACACCTGATGATGATTGCTTGTGTTGCAGTCGAAACGTCGTGATAATTTTATTGTTTAATATTTTTATTATTTTGTTTCCCTTCTACGTGACTTTACCGAAAGAACCAAAGAATATTAATTCCTGCAGAAAGTTTAAAGTCAAAAGTCATATATAATATTAATAATGGTGCAGGCTGATTGATAACGTGTATTGTAATCGATATGGATTGGAGTGTTTGATAAGATTGATAATGATATTATTAACTGTGTCGATGTATTCCTTACCACTGCGTGCGTGTTGGTCATCAAGCTTAACGATTTCCGCTCTTGTGGAGAGATAATGGGTGTCATTGAGCGAAATTGATGGAGGCTATAAGGTGGGTTAAGGCTACCAACGAGAGGAGGGTTCTGTATGGGATGACACAAGGGTTCTGAACACACGAATTGACAAGCCAGGTGCAAAGCCATCTCCCCAGGAGGGCCCTCACCCCAGTTCCCACCCACTCCAGCCCCCCCACACTCCAGGCCCCCCCCCGAACCCCTACTCCAGCCCCTCCTACCCCAGGGCCACCACCCCAGCCCCCCCCCCCCCCAATTCATTTAACTCGGTTCTGTTTACCAGTTGCATTGTGCTTGCGTTTTTCTTTGTTCATGGATGTATTTTACTTGTTTAGTTGCTTAGTAACTTTGGTTCTTTCGGTAAAGTCACGTAGAAAGAAAATCAATTAAATAGAATACGACGTTTCGATTGCAACACAATCGTCATTAGGCAGAACTAAATTTGAGAGAGAGACGAAACACATTTTTATTCGCACTCAAAAGTGGAACATTTATTATTTTGACCCCAACATTGAGCGTTAATTCCGGGGTCAAAAAGATTGCGTTTAAATTTGGATTTAAAGCTTTCGTGACTGCAGGGATTCATATTATTGGTTCTTTTGGTAAAGTCACGTAGAAGGGAAATAATAAAATAATACAAATAAAAGAATAAAATTGTATTACTTTTATTTGTATTATTTTAGGGAAATAATAAAATACAAATAAAAAATACAAACTTATTGTATTCTTGGTTCTTTCGGTAAAATCACGTAGAAGGGAAACAATAAAATAATAAAAACCATAAAACAATAAAATTCTCACGACGTTTCGACTGCAACACAAGCAACCATCATCAGGTGTGAAAACCACAGCAAGAAAATTTATATTTGTATTATTTTATTGTTTCCCTTCTACGTGACTTTACCGAAAGAACCAATAATAAGATTGCGTTTACTTCTTTTGAGCCCAAATAAAAGTGCGTGTGCGTGTGTGTGTGCATTGACAATCTTGTTTGTTTATCACCCAAACCGTTGTTTTGTTTGTCTGCGTCATTGTTGGTCTCGGGGGCTAAGAGGGCAGCTGCACTGGCTGCTGTGGCGCCATGACGAGCGGCGATAGAAGCGCGCCTCTCATTGGTCAGAGACTGGCCCA